TATTTTTCTGTATTTTTGACTGTGGACCGAGAACGCTTTAAAACCAAGGAATGCCAAAAGATAACTACAGTTTATAAAATCAGATAACCTGACTCTCATTGTAAGTACTGTTTACAAGGTTTCTGGTTCAATCAGATGATGGTTCAGATGAGCTGCAGCTCAGTTGTGTGTAAATGGAAATTCAGTCAGTAACAAGTAGCTGATTGGTCTGTGGACTGGTGACCAGTTGTCAATGACAAAGGCCATCTGCCTGTCAGAAACCATATGACTAGTTCGCAGGAAGCTGAACAGCTTAGGGCTGCGAACAAGACATTAAGAAACCATCAGAAGTTTCCAAGCTCAGGAGCTGTCTCCGTTCTCTGCAGTAAAAAAACCCCACAAAGCCTGAAGAACCCATTTATTTTCCATCAGCAACTATCATAAACTGAGATTATTCATTGATAAGTCAGACAACTCTTCTAAGTGTGACCCAGTCACCAGAAGAGAATAATCAAGAAGCAGAATTCTGATCAGCATAAAAATGATACAAATCATCTCTGCAACCCCTGTGAACAGGAACTGGTCTCAGACAAGTCAAACAACAGCCTGACATTGCCTGTAAGGAATGATTCCATGAGTATGACAACAGACACAACCAAACACCACTATTAACATCCCTGGATATGTCTTGTCCCACCCGCAGGACAGACCCAGCAGAGGGGGCGGCACAGTGGTATACAGTCGGTAGTGATTGGCCCTAGGAGTCCTCAACATTGACTCCGGACCCCATGAAGTCTCATGGCTTTGGTTATACATGGGCAAGGAAATCTCCTGTTAATTACCATGTACCATCCTCCCTCGGTTGATTTATCAGTTCTCCTGCCTGTTAAACACCACTTGGAGGAACCACTGAGGATGGCAAGGGCACAAAATGTACTCTGGGTGGGGGATTTCAATGTCCACCACCAAGAGTGGCTCGGCAGCAGTATGACTGATTGAGTCAGTTGGGTCCTAAAGGACATAGCTGCTATACTGGGTCTGCGGCAGGTGGTGAGGGAACCAACAAGAGGGAAAAACATTCTTGACCTCATCCTTACCAATCTGCCAGCTACAGATACATCTGTCCATGACAGTATTGGTAAGAGTGACCACTGCACAGACCTTGTGGAGACAAAGTCCCGCCTTCACATTGAGAATAATTTCCATCGTGTTGTGTAGCACGATCACCGTGCTAAATGGAACAGACTTCGCACAGATCTAGCAACTCAAGACTGGGCATCCATGAGGCGCTGTGGGCCATCAACAGCAGCAGAATTGTACTCCAGCACAATCTGTAACCTCATGGCCCGGCATATCCCCCACTCAACCATTACCATCAAGCCAGGGGATCAACCCCAGTTTAATGGAGTGCAGGAGGGCATGCCAGGAGCAGCACCAGGCATACCTGAAGATGAGGAGTCAACCTGGTGAAGCCACCAAACAGGGCTACTTGCACGCCAAACAGCGAAAGCAGCAAGTGATAGACAGAGCTAAGCGATCCCACAACCAATGGATCAGATCTAAGCTCTGCATTTCTGCCACATCCAGTCGTGAATGGTGGTGGATAATTAAACAACTCACTAGATGAGGAGTCTTCACAAATATCCCCATTTTCAATGATGGAAAAGCCCAGCACATCAGTGCAAAAGATAAGGCTGACGCTTTTGCAACAATCTTTAGCCAGAAGAGCCGAATAGATAATCCATTACGGCCTCCTCCAGTGACCCTCAACAGGTCTTCAGCCAATTTGATTCCCTCCACATGATATCAAGAAATGATTGGAGACAATGGATATTGCAAAGGCTACAGGCCCTGACAACATTCTGGCATTTGTACTGAAGACTTGTGCTCCAGAACTTGCCGTTCCCTTAGCCAAGCTGTTCCAGTACAGTTACAACACTGGTATCTACACAACAATGTGGAAAATTGCCCAAGTATGTCCTGTACACAAAATGCAGGACAAATCCAACCCAGCCAATTACCGCCCCATCAGTCTACTCTCGATCATCAGTAAAGTGATGGAAGGTGTCATTAACAGTGCTATCAAGCAGCACTTGCTCAGCAACGCCCAGTTTTTGGGTTCCGCCAGAGCCACTCAGCTCCTGACCTCATTACAGTCTTGGTTCAAACATAAACTAAAAAGTTGAATCCCAGAGGTGAGGTGAGAGTGACAGAGCTTAATATCAAGGCTGCATTTGGCCGAGTGTGGCATCAAGGAGCCCTAGCAAAACTAGAATCAATGGGTATCAGGGGGCAAATGCTCCGGTGGTTGGAGTCGTACCTGACACATAGGAAGATGGTTGTGGTTGTTGGAGGTCAGTCATCTTAGCTCCAGGACATCTCTGCAGGAGTTCCTCAGGGTAGTGTCCTTAGCTGCTTCATCAATGACCTTCCCTCCATCATATGGTCAGAAGTGGGGATGTTCGCCGATGATTGCACAATGTTCAGCACCATTTGTGACTGCTCAGATACTAAAGCAGTCCATGTTCACATGCAACAAGATCTGGACAATATCGAGGCTTGGACTGACAAGTAATAAGTAATATTTGCACCACACAAACACCTTCTCCAGCAAGAGACAATCTAACCACCACCCCTTGACATTCAATGGTGTTACCATCACTGTAATCTCCAACTATCAATATGCTGGGGGTCACCATTGACCAGATATAAACATAGTAGCTACAACAGCAGGCCAGAAGCTGGGAATACTGCGGTGAGTGACTCACCTCCTGGCTCCCCAAAGCCTGTCCACCATCTACAAGGCACAAGTCAGGAGTGTGATGGAATACTCCCCACTTGCCTGGATGGTGCAGCCCCAACAACACTCAAGAAGCTTGACACCATCCAGGACAAAGCAGCCCGCTTGATTGGCAGCACATTCACAAACATTCACTCCCTCCACCACCGACGCTCAGTAGCAGCAGTGTGTACTATCTACAAGATGCACTGCAGAAACTCACCAAAGAGCCTTAGACAGCACCTTCCAAACCCACGACCACTTCTATCTAGAAGGACAAGGGCAGCAGATATACGGGTACACCATCCCCAGCCAGTTCCCCTCTAGTCCACTCACCATCCTGACTTGGAAATATATCACCATCCCCTTCGCTGTGGCTGGGTCAAAATCCTGGAATTCCCATCCTAAGGGCATTGTGGGTCAACCTACAGCACATGGACTGCAGCGGTTCAAGAAGGCAGCTCATCACCACCTTCTCAAGGCACAACTAGGGATGGACACGAAATTCTGGCCCACCCAGCGACCCCCATGTCTCAGGAATGAATAATGTAAAAAAAAAACAACAGCCATTATTCCAGTTTCTTTCTCCATCTTTAACATCCATGTTTGTCCTTATGTTTTGTCTGTGTGAAAGAGATTAAGGGGGACTTTATAAAGGGATTAAACTTTAATTTGTGGCAATATATGCCAATGGCTTATAATTGTTTACCTGTAGTTAGAGTCTGATTCCTTATGATAAATAGTAAATCTTCTTGCATTTCGAAACCTGGTCTGTGCCTTCTGTCAACCTGGTGCTGGAAATTAGAAAAATTGAAGAACTTTGTGTAGTTCTATAAAAATATTTAACTTTTGCAACAACAGAGACACGACTTTCAGTGCACATTCCTAGTGAGGTGTAAAATAGATCAGATGAAGATGAAAGACAGCACCATGCAACAAATAAATGCTGTAGCTGCTTTAATTATCTGTATACAAACATTAGCAGTAAAATACCAATAGCAAGGCAGACTTGGAGCTGAAAATGACAGCCTGCAGCATCCAGATAGTGAGAGCTGCACACTCCCACAGATTACAAATTGCTCAGAGAGCAAACAACAGGCTTGAGTTTCCGACTGCCCTTTCAGACCACAATTGAAGATACTGCTCCCTGAGAACATTAGCAGCTCACACTCATCCCAAACTAACACCACGAACAAGACAGGCTCAACGCTACTCGAAAGATACTGGCAACAAGCATTCTGAAAGCACACAATCGAGCTGGCAGAGAATACTGACCTGCATGAGAGTGAGCGAGCGTGACATTGAGTGCCAGTGTGAGAGCGAGCATGAAAAGACAGCACGAGAGTGACAGCGTGCATGTTAGAGTGAGTGAGAGTGCGAGAGAGTGCTAGAGAGAGAGGAAGAGTAAGAGAGAGCGGAAGAGAGAGAAAGAGCACAAGAGAGGGTGCGAGAGTGAGAAAGCGCTTCAGTATGAGACAGAGCATGAGTGAGCAAGAGAGACAGCAAGAAAGAATGTGAGAGAGCACATGTGAGTAAGTCAGCACAAACTTGAGAGTGACAGAGCATGACAGAGAGTGTGTGAGCATTAGAGAGAGAGAGGGCGCGCAGGAGTGACTCGAGGGAGATAGAGAGTACGTTTACAAAGCTACAATGGCTGAAAACTAACCATCATACGTAGGCATAACTGAGCTCTATATAACAGTGCTAACTGGAGAGCAAATTGGTCTGTATTTGAAGATGAGATGATGCGATCTATAACCTGGAACATTTAGTGCAAAACACCAGTGTATTTGCTGTTGTCACAGTCACATTGTTTTCTCTATTTCGCACTTTCAGGCCTGAAGCAGGAGAAGGAAAATCACTTTGCTGCTTCAGGACGTTGCCAGAGCGGCTATCAGTTTCAAACTATTGACTTCCTTGACCCCACACATGGTTTACTGCATAAGCACAACTCTGTAGCTTCTCAATATCCTGGCAACAATCTACCAACATGCTGCAGGACACAGCCCAGTCTCCCCTGGGACCGTATGACAGGCCCCAGTCTCCCCGGGTAGACTGACACTCTCCTGTATTCAGTTTTTAACACTGTGATTCAATATTGTAGCTACACTGAGCTGATAGGCAGCAAATAATTTGCTAATCTGCCAATGATCCATGATTATGGGGCTGCTTGTGGAAAATAGAAAGTGGTGTCCAATTTCAAGCTGACATCCTGAAACTACTGACACGTTCCCATGTTTTGGCGTGACACAAACCCCTTGTATCATTTTACCCCATTGAGACTAGCAAACTGGATGACAATGACTGATTGCATTAAATATCCTTTCTTGTGAATAGAAGCTGACTGCCCCACAATAGGTTGGGTCAGATGTTGAATGGTTAGCTCTGCTGGATTATTAGCTAGGCTTTCAACCAAGAATACCCTGAAGAAAAGCTGAACTCTTATCTCACTAAATCCCCTCTCAAACATTCTGCTCTGTCGGTGAAGGATTTATGTTAGTGTAAACCTATTTTTCTACTTCAGATTTATAGATGCTTCATATGATGAAATCATACACAAAGTTACTGAGGACACCAGTGCAGCAAGAGTAATTACCATCACTCTCAATGCTTCAACTTCCTGCAGCACGTGGAAGCTACAGAATGGTATAAAAAGGCAGAAAAAGAACACATCTTTTGTAAGGCTGCAAAAGGCTTTGGGTTCAGTCACAGATTAAAGCGCTTCGTCAAATAGGGATGAGCGATTTTGGAGAAGAACCACATAGGCTAATTTTTCAGGTATTCGGTGCACTTTTGCTTTCAGAGTTCGTTCTCTAAAGCAAAATCTGGGAATTCTTTGTAGATCTCCTGGATGATCAGCTTGTCCATCTGGCAGCTCTGGTCATTCTCCTCCTCCGCCAGAATTCGTTGGAAGGTGACCTGGAGATCCGGGAGACGGTGCTGGTGACATATGTAATCTGTGGAGCGCATGATGGCATGCATCAGTGAGAGGTATTCCATTCGAATCTGTGCCAACAGAGATAGTGTGAGAGAGGTGAAACACACATAACACAGTCACCCTATCCAGCAGCAGCACACTGGTTAACACCACGAAGCAAACACAAAATCACAAAAACACTAAAATTCTCTGTTTACTTTTATGGAATGAGGTCATCACTGGCAAGGCCAGCATTTATTGCCTGTCCCTAATCACCCTTCCTTGCTCAACCATTTCAGAGTCACCACATCGCTGTGTGTCTGGAGTGACACGTAGACCAGACCAGGTAAAGGTGGGAGATTTCCATTCCTAAAGTGAACCAGATAGGTTTTTACACCAATTGATGTGAGCTTCAGGTCCACATTTTGTTAACAGAATGTACATTCCAGCAGCTGCTCCAGTGGCGTTGTAGATTCCAGGCCTGTTGATGTGACACCCATCTCCCACTTACTGCAGCAGCCTCAGGAAATAACATGACTAGAGCAGGGGACTTTCAGATGGCTCTAGAACTTACCTTAAGCCAGAATGCAGCAGCTGATCTTCCTCCAAGAACTTACAGGTGGAGTGGGGTGGGCAGACAAGGAGAATTTGTTACCTAGTATGGTGATGGGACGTGTGGTAAGACCATAAGATATGAGCAGAATTAGGGCATTCAGCCCATTGAGTCTGCTCCACCATTTGATCATGGCTGATATGTTTCTCAACCCCATTTTCCTGCCTTTTCCCTCATAAACCTTGATCCCCCTTACTAATCAAGAACCTATCTATCTCCATCTTAAATACAGTCAATGACTTGGCCTCCACAGCCCTCTGTGGCAATGAGTGCCACTGATTCACCACTTTCTGACTGAAGACATTCCTCCTCATCTCAGTTCTATGGGTTGTCCCTTCATTCTGAGGCTGTGCCCTCAAGTCCTAATCTCTCCTACCAGTGGAAACTTCTCCATATCCACTCTATCCAGGTCTCTCAGTATTCTCTAAATTTCAATCAGAAACCACCCCCCACCCCTACCCAATCCTTTTAAACTCCATTGAGTATAGACCCAGAATCCTCAACCGCTCATGTGACAAGCCCTTCCATCTCCAGGATCATTCTTCCAATCCTCCTCTGGATGACCTCCAATGCCAGCACATCCTTCCTTAGGTATGGAGCCCAAAACTGTTCACAATATTTCAAATGCAGTCCCTCTAGAGCCTTACACAGTCACAGCAGTATATCTTTGCTCATGTATCTCGAAATGAGCACTAACATTGCATTTGGTTTCCCAACTGCCAACTGAACATGCAATGTTAACATCGAGAGAATCCTGAACCAGGGCTCCAAAGTCCCTTGTGCATCAGCTTTCTGAAGCCTTTCACCATTTAGAAAATAGTCTATGCCTGTATTCTTCCTATCAAAGTGCAAGACCTCACACTTTCCCACATTGTACTCCATCTGCCACTTCATTGCCCACTCTCCCAGCATGTTCAAGCCTCCCTGCTTCCTCAACACAATTGTCCCTCCACCTATCTTTGTGTCACCTGCAAACTTAGCAACAATGCCCTCAGTTCCTTTGTCCAGATCATTAATGTACAATGTGAACAGTTGTGGTCCCAACACAGACCCCTGGGGAGCTCCACTAGTCACCAGCTGCCATCCTGAAAAAGACCTCTTCATCCCAACTCTCTGCCTTCTGCCAGACAGCCAATTCTCTATCCATGCCAGTATCTTGCCCCTAAAACCATGGGCTCCTTCTTTATTTTGCAGCCTCCTATGCAGCACCCTGTTGTTCCAGGCCTTCTGGAAATTCAAACAGATCATGTCCACTAGCTCCCCTTTGTCTCTCTTGCTCACATAATTCTAACAGATTTGTCAGGGATGACCTCCCCTTGATGAAACTATGCTGACTCAGCCCTATTTTACCTGTGCTTCCAAGTACTCTGCAATCTCATCCTTGAAAATTGACTCTAAAATCTTACTAACGACTGAGGTCAGGTTAACCAGTTTCCTGCCTTCTGCCTCCCTCCCTTCTTAAACAGGGGTGTTACATTAGCTATGGTCCAGTTCTCTGGGACCCTTGCTGACTCCACTGATTCCTGAAAGATCACCACCAATGCCTCTACAATCTCCTCAGCTATCCCCTTCAGAACTCTGGGGTGTAGTCCACCTGGTCCAAGTGACTTATCCAACTTCGGACCTTTCAGCTTCCCCAGCACCTTCTCCTTAGGGATGGCCACTACTCTCACCTCTGCTCCCAACTCTCCTGAAGTTCTGGAATGCTACTGGTGGGTTTCCCACTGTGAAAACTGTTACAAAGTACCTATTCAGTTCCTCTGCCATTTCCTTGCTCCCCATTACTACTTCTTCAGCCTCATTTTCCAGCAGTCCAATTTCCACTCTTGCCTCTCTCTTACCTTCTAGATATGTAAAAAGAACTCTTACAATCTTCTTTTGTATTACTAGCTGGCTCACTCTCATCTCCCTAATTGCTTCTCTAGTTATTCTCTGCTGTTTTTTAGGGGCTTCCCAATCCTCTGGTTTCCCACCAATTGTCACCACATTGCATACTTTTGCTTCAATGCTGTCTCTAACTCTCCTTGTCAGCCATGGTTGCCTTGTCCTCCATAGGGTGAGGGAGGGGATTGGTTACCCAGTATCCTGATGGGACACCGGGTGACCCCTGCAGAATGACCATACACCATTCTGACGACATGAAGAGCGATGAGACTGCCAGGAGAGGTTGTAACAGGGAGCGAGGAATTTGCATTGGTCAGAGAGAGAGAGAAACAACTAGTGTAGGAACTGTATCAGTGGCCGCACAGGATGTGGCAGGAGACCAGAGACCTTGGACTCCTGCATGCTATAGTGGTAAGACTTGAAAGCTGAACAATTCCGCAGGGTGGAAGATAAGGTCATGGTCAGGGGAACTCCTGAAAAACCAGGCTCCCAAGATGCGCAGGTTAGGTGGATTGGCCACGGTAAATGCTGGATTAAGGGGATAGGGTGGGGGGGTTGCCTGGGTCTGGGTGGGATACTCTTTGGAGGCTCGGTGCAGAGTCAATGGGCTGAACAGCCTCTTTCCGCACTGTAGGCATTCTATGATTGAGCGTTTTAACGTAGGTGCTTGTGGCCTTCTGGAATCATGGTGACCAGTGATACATGCACTCGCTTGGATGTGAAAGCAAAAGGGAGATGGATGCTTCGGACACAGCTCAAGAGAAAACTCTGCTGACGAGTCTCAGCCCCATCTCTATCGGTAGCATACCCACTGGATCTGGAAAGAATATAGATGATGTGTTGGTCATTCATAACTAACTAGCTGTTAGGTGATGGTCAGAAATGTGTTTAGATTCACAGCATCACCACCATGAAGGGTCACAGTCAATTGAAGGCTAATGAGTGGCATGATCATTGTAACCGGATCTGAGATGGCCCACACTACCTGGAGACAGCCATCTAAGAGGTATGGAAGATTGCCGGTATTCAGGGAGCACAGAGTAAAATTCAAGCAGTGTTAGACCAGGAGAGGATCAACCACACCAATGGGCTGTTCCCAGGGCAAGCAATGTGGCACCTGGGATTTAACTGGAGTATTGCTGTGTGGAGGACCACTATCTCTTTGAATGGTCCCAATGGATAGACGTGGTAACAAATCCAACAGGATGCATTACCAGAAGCAGCCTCCCTGCCTACACAGGCTGGTTCCAAACAGAAGCAATATAGGCAGAGAAGTGGCAGTGCCTGGATATGACCCAGGGCCCTTCATTTGGCATTTTTGCTAACTGACTATGATAAAATCTTGTATGACCATGTACAGGTACCCATGGTCCTAAACATCTCAGATTTAACTCAGAGATAACACAGTGTGGATCTGGAGGAACACAGCAGGCCAGGCAGCATCAGAGGAGCAGGAAAGCTGATGTTTCAGGTCAGGACTCTCATTCCTGTTATCTCTGACTCCAGCATCAGCTGTTCTTACTATCTCTCAGACATAACTCAGGCCTGGTGTTGCTTGGCTCATATTTGAGCTCTAAAGAGGAGGTTCATGGATCAGTTATTGATTGAACAGTTATTGATGAGGAAGGGCATTGACAAAGGCTCTTCAAATGAGGCCTTGTGGGTAGAGCTCAGAAATAAAAAAGGGTCAATCAGTTTGCTGGGATTATACTGTAGGCTTCCCAATAGTCAGCTGGAGATAGAGAAGCAGATATGGAGGCAAATCACAGAGGTGTGAGAGGAATAGGGTTATAGTTGTAGGAGATTTCAACTTGCTAACATTAACTGGGATTGCCTTCATGTGAGAAGATCAGAGGGGATGGAAATATTAAACTGTGCGCTGGAGAGGTTTTTGTGCCAGTTTGCAGATAGTCCTAATGGAGATGGGGCAGTGCTAGACCAAATCCTGGGGAATGAAGCTGGTCAAGTGGTTGAAGTTTCAATGGGCGAGCATTTTGGCAATAGTGACCATAACTCTAAGTTTCACAGTTCTTATGGAAAGGGACAAGGATAGTGCAGAAGTTAAGGGTCTAAATTGGGGGTAGGTCAATTTCAATATCAGTAGACAGGATCTGGGAACAGCTACTTGCAGTTAAATCTACATTTGGAAGGTGGGAGTCTTTTAAAAGTAATATGGTGAGAATTCAGGTCCAGCACATTCATCTAACAGTGAAGGGCGAGGGCAGCAAGTCCAGGGAATGTCAAGCGCTATCGAGAATGTGATAAAGAGAAAGAAGGACGAATATGTCAAGTACAGTGCATTAAAAGCAGGGGAGGCTCTTCAAAAATAGAGTGTAGAAGGTTGCATAAAACCCAATGAGGACGCAAAGAGGGACCATGAAATATCTTTGACAGATGGGATCAAGAAAAACGCGAAGGCATTTTTATAAGTACATTAAGAGTAAGAGGATTACCAGGGAAAGGGTGGGACTATTAGAGACTGAAAGGAAAATCTGTGCATGGAGCCAACGGAAGTGGGTGAGGTCTAAAACGAATATTTCTCACCTGTATTCACGAAGGACAAAGACACCATAACCAGGGATTTCAGTTGGAATGGTGAGGTTCTAGAGTACGTTAAGACTAATAAGGAGGGGGTATTAGATATTCTAGTGGGTGTAAAGGTGCATTAAGCCCCTGGGCCTAATGAGATGGAAGAACTGATAAAACAATTCTGAAGGACAGAATTAATCAAAAATTGGAAAAGCAGGAATTGATCAGGAATCGTCAGCATGGATTTGTCAGAGAGACTCTGTCTGACTAATTTAATTGAGTTTTTGAAAAGGTGACTTAAAATTAATGAGGGCAGTGCAGTTCATGTGGTTTACATGGACTTCAGTAAGGCCTTCGACAAGATCCCGCATGGAACACTGCTCCAAAAGGTGACAGCCCGTTAGATCCAAGGCAAGTTGGTAAACTGGATCCAAAACTGGCATACAAATAAGAGGCAAAGGGTGATGGTGGATGGTTGGTTATATGATTGGAAACCTATGACTGGCAGTGTACCACAGGGATTTTGTTTGTTTTGTGAATTAACAACTTGGATGTGAATGTAGAAAGTATAATTAATAAGTTTGCAGCTGGTACAGAAATTGGCAGTGTTGTTGTTAGTGAGGAGGATGATCTCAGGCTTTGTCTGATATTGATCAGTTGGTAAACTGGGCAGAGCAATGGTAGGTGGAATTTAATCCTGATAAGTAGGAGGTGATGCATTTTGGGAGGTTGAATAAGAGAAGGATTCACACAATGAATTGTAGATCTCTCAAACACACTGAGGAACAAAGGGACCGTGGTGTACAATCCACAGATCCCAGAAGGTGTCAGCACAATGGACAGGGTGGTGAGGAAGGGATGCTTGGCTTCATTAGCTGGGATGTGGAATATAGGTGCAAGGAAGCTTGTTACAACTTTATAAAATGTTGGTTAGGCCACAAAGGGAGTACTGTGTTCTGGTCACTGCGCTATCAGAAGGAGGTGATTGCACTGGGGAGGATACAGAGGAGGTGCACCAGGATGTGGCCTGGGATGAAAAGTCTCAGTTATGAGGGGAGACTGGATAGGCTGGGTTTGTTTTCCCTGGAGCAGATCAGGCTGAGGGGTGGATCTGATTGAGGTACATAAAGTTTTGAGAGGCAATGACAGAGCAGATTGTGAGAATCTCTTTCCCATGACAGACATGTCTCAGACCAGAGGGCATAAGTTTAAGGCGAGGAGCAAGTGGTTTAGAGGAGATGTGGAAAGTAACTTTTTCACCCAGAGGGTGGAAGAAATATGGAATGTGCTGCCTGAGGTTGGTGGAGACAGATACTCAGCTTGGTGTTTGCTGCGTGGTATAGACATGGTGGGCTGAAGGGCCTGTTTCTAAGCTGCATGACTCTATGACTCAGTGAGAAGCAGCTCAGCTGAATGTGGCCCAGGGAAAGAACAGATTGAAGTGTGACCTGATAAATTATGCCGCTCCAGTATTCAACACAGGAACCTCGATCATTCATCCCATTGAATTTGTCACCAAGGACCAAAAGTTCTGAATCCTAAATTCACAGCTTAAGGAAATTTTAAGAAAGAGAGGCAGATTAGAGGGATAGGGTGGGGTGTGGGTCTGGCTGGGATGGAATTTGGAGGGTTGTGAGGACTCAATGGGCCAGATGGCCTGCTTCTACACTGTATGGATAGTATAGTAATATCTGTGATAAGAAGTACCCAATTAGGTACAAACTGAGATAGTAGGAACTGCAGATGCTAGAGAATCTGAGATAACAGAAGGGTCTTCGAAGGGTCTAGGCCCGAAACGTCAGCCTTCCTCCTCCTATGATGCTGCTTGGCCTGCTGTGTTCATCCAGCTCTACACCTTGTTATCTTAGGTACAAACTGAAAGTCCTTTAGTCCAGCATTTTGCTTCACTTACATCATGGCTGTTTTGTTTACAAACCTGGACAATTCCTATCTAATCTCATCTAATCCCAGGAACATAGTCCCTGTACCTCTGAAACAAAAACAGAAATTGCTGTTTCTGCAGCTCTTTAATACTCTGAAGAGGAGTCACTGCTTTCCTTCCACAGATCACAGAATCCCTACAGTGTGGTAACAGGCCATTTGGCCGAACAAATCCGTACCGCCCCTCTGAAGAGCATCCCACCCCGTCCCCCTTCCTTATACCTGTAACTCTGCATTTCCCATGGCTAACCCACCTAAATTACACATCCCTGAACACTACAGACAATTTAGCATGACTAATCCACCTAGCTTGCACACCTTTGGACTATGGGAGGAAACCGGAGCACCCGGAGGAAACCCACGCAGACACAGGGAGAATTGCAAACTCCACACAGACAGTCGCCCGAGGCTGGAATCGAACCTGGGTCCCTGGCGCTGTGAGGCTGCAGTGCTAACCACTGAGCCACTGTGCTGACAGATGCTGGCAGACTTGCCAAGTTTCTCCAGCAATTCCTGCTTTTGTTTCTGACTTTAGCACCCGCAGTCATTGCTTTAATTGAGCCTAGTAGGTCTGTCGTGAACCTATCAAAGCTGTATCGAAACGGGCCCGGCAGCGTTAAGGTGGAGTTGGTGGTGAGTCCGCTTGTGGTCGTGCTGCAGTGTTCTTACCTTTTCCCCTGGTGAGAGGTCAGAGATCTGACGCACGATGATATCAATCATCACCATCAGGTCCGTGCGGTAAAAGATCCTTGCCGTGTCTTTGTCCGCAAAAACATCCTGCAGGAACTTCACCACGGAGTGCGGTGGTTGGGGCTGGTGCTTGAAAATATTCACCGGGTCATCTGAGGGACACAGAGGTGAAAGGGTAATGTTCATTAAAGTAATGAGGGAGGCATTATAAAGAGGCTGGATCAAACACGAGGCAGGAGGAAAGGAGGAGGGTTTTATCAGTGAATACCGTGTGCCACCCTGTCTCTAACCTCCTGCTGTAGGTTAACAGCAGGTGATTTTGAATGAAAGACAGGAAGTAAGCCCTCACTCTCAGATTCACTGCTCCGTGTTGTTCTCAGGAGCTCCCTCAGATCCTGCCCAGCATTCACTGACAGCATACACTGCCGAGCTTGTAGACTTGCTTGCTGAGCCAGTGTGTTTGACTGCATTTATATGTCTCCGTTTAAATAACAAGGGGGACGGAACACCAACGCTTCACCGGAGGTGCACTGACGATGTTACCTAGCAGGGTGACGAAATGTTTGCAACCAAACCCACCGGCTCGGCGAGCAAGTCTACAACCTCATCCACAAACCGAGCTACAAATCTCAAAAACGTTAAAGCTGCTCCAAGACAAGGGGGGGGGGGAGGGCTGGGGGGGGGGGGGGGGGGGAGGGAAGGGAGCAGGAAACAGTGCACATGGTGAAGGGAATGGCTCAGCGAGGGGCCCAGGTTACACAATGAAGTCGGTGGGGTTTAGTATACAGAGTGAGGGGAGGGGGAAGTGTACACCATGAGGAGGAGAGGTCAGCATTAACAGTGAAGGGGAGGGGACAGCATGCACTGTCAGGGGAGGGTGAGGTGTATGTGGTGAGGGGGAGGGGTCTGTGTACACGGTGAGGGGAAGTCCACACACCATGAGGGGATATAATCGGATTCTATATCTGTTTAGCTGCTGTTCTTTTTATTCCATGGGCTCTAACTTTCTCTGTGACACTGTATCAAATACTTTTTGGTTGTCCGTGTCTACATCTGGTCAACCCTCTCTGTTAACTCATCAGAAAACTCCCTTCAATCAGGTTAAACACTGACCTTGCAGAATGAACCCACATTGATCCATATGACTAATAATTTTGTCTCAAATTTCTGTTCCTAGAAATTTGTGAACCATTGCAGTTAAAGGGGTTGGTTGCTGGGCTTATTCTTGCAACAACGGCACAACATTTAGCAATATCCAGTCCCTCACCTCCACTTCTTAGCCTAAGGACGACAGAAAAATATTCTGAGTCTCTGTGATTTCCATTCTCGTCATGTCTCACTAACAATAAACCTGGCTACTGATTCACACTCCTCTTCATTCACTATGGGCTGGCTATCATCCTCTACCGTGGGATTGATAGATACAAACACTTCAGTCATGTCCTCAGCTGCCACATGTCAAACTCCTCTTTAGTCCCGAACTAGCCCACTCCCCCTTTCATCACCCTAGTACTATGTATATCCATATAAAATACCTTGGAATTCCTCTTCATGTCAGCTCCTAGCCTCTTTCCATATTTTGCCGTTGCATCTTCAGTCTGAATCCTCTATATTCAGCCCAGTTCTCAAATGTATTTTTGACCTCATATCTATCATGAGCCCATGTTCTTCTTTGTCATCACTTCTACCTCATCCATCATCCACGAAAGTCAGGATCTGTTTACTGACTTCCCCCTCCATATATTCTACCTCAGGATATACTGAACCCTGACCCTCTGTGTCCTCTACCCGAGGGCACTCTGACCCCTCACCCTCCATACACCCTACCCGAGGGCACTCTGACCCCTCACCCTCCATACACCCTACCCGAGGGCACTCTGACCCCTCACCTTCCACAACCCTACCCCAGATAACTCTGACCCCTCACCTTCTGTGCTCCCTACCCCAGGACACTCTGACCCCTCACCTTCTGTGCTCCCTACCCCAGGACACTCTGAC